ATAATTTTTAATAATTTTATTTTTATCTTATTTTTTAGCAAAATAATATCTAATTATTTATAAATACATATATTTTTTTAATAAAAAACACTGATCTCCTCAGCACACTTGAGATTTTATATAAATTCAAATACAAATTAAACATACAAATTGTCTAAGATATCAAGAAGATGACAATGGACTCATGTTTCTGATTAGAAGGTAGGTAGGTGCCTTGTCATCTGTCGACAAGACACATCGGCCATTATAAAGTGGAAGGACGAGATTAATGGACGCGAGCGTGGGACACACAAGTGAAGTGACATGAACATGAACCACTGCGGATGCTATCTTCTTCTCTCACCACAAAGCTTGTGCGTCGGAGAGCTGTCTCGCTTTCTGTCGCACATATTTCGATTAGGACAGGATGAGACACGATAAGAGGGACAAATAAAGTAACGTGAGGCGTAGGGTGACCACTATCCTGCCACCTACGGCAGTGGTGTACGAGTCGCAACGCTTACTTCATGCATGCACGTAAGCATTTATTCCTGATGGAAGCTTTCATTAAATGTCCAATGCACTTCCGACGGCACATTTTCTGGACCGCAGTAGTGTCAGTCGACACGCTGACGTGGTGCCACAAACGCCGGCGCTCGGCCCCACGCAGGTGCTTAATGCCATGCGCACCCATAATTGTGCCACATATGTACCCACGTCGCACGTGGCCGCTCTCTTAGCGTCACGCGCGCCCTGAGGAGGACGAGTACAAAACGCGGCCGCCGGTTGAGACACAGCTTTGGTAACGACCTGAGAACGCGGCGCCCAGAGGTGACGTAAGCAGTGACGTGAACGCTGCTAGCCTGTTTCGATCGATCCACGAAACAGGATTCTCGGTGTGACCCGGGCCGGGTCCACGGTCAACTACAGTGTCATTCCATGTTCCCTGGCTGATCTGAGACAGGAAAACGTCACCCACGGTACCGTCGGCTGAAGGGATGCTGAGTAAGCCGCGAACGGGAGGGAGGGCAAAGTATTCCTCATAATATAAACGTGAAGCGTTCGGTACGAGTACGACACGTGTTCTCTCGGTGTCCACGATGCATCTTGGGAATGGAACGGAATATTTTGCTCCCGTGGGGCCACCTTTCACGTCCCGGAAACAAAATAAAAACTGAGTGACTCAGCCGACAACTGTACCCACATGGAAGAGTGCCGGTCCCTGTGGCGGATCTATTGGGCCCGGCGTTTCTCTTCGAATCATCAGGCAGGTACATGGGGAGGGTGCGACCCACCCGTGACGCACGCCAGCGAGCAGAAACTCGTAGGACCGTCGTGAAGTGGACACGCGGCGCCCCACCAGGCGCAGTCCACGGCTTCCTTTTCCACACTCGTTGCACTTGAACCCGCGGATGGTTTCCCCTTATCATGCTCCTCCCTCCTCTCATGTCCCGAGCCGAACCGAAAAGAAGGAACCAGCATAGCTTCCTTTGTCGAGCAACGAAGGTATGCGAAAGGAGAAGACAAAGGGAGCCTTTTTAGAGCAGAAAGAGCTGAAGAAAGTACTCGATCAAAATGAAGCCCTAATACTGAACGCCAATCGAAAAGAACCTCTTCTGGTAACGTAGAGGACAAAGGAGATCGTTTTCAGTAGAACCACCGACCGGCGACCATACCGACAACTCCGCCCCATTTCTAAGTGGCTCCGCGTGAAGAGTGGACTACGGATAAGGCACAAAACCAATCCAGCTCAGTGATTTGACTGCGGAAGTCTAAACGGCAAGAAGCGGCCCACACGTGACGACAGCCTCCGATTTGCCCCACCCGAAACATCGTCGAATGTCGCCCTACGACGAGTCCACCTCTGGACTAAGCTACTCCGACGGAGCACTGAAGGGAAGATTCTTTGGTCTACCTTTTTTGTTTTATCTATTTCCGCTGAGCTCCACGTTCGACGATGACACTACTGCAATAAACTCGACGTGTAATGGATGGATAGATGGACACGTATAGTCGCAATTTCCGAGCCAATAGCTCGTAGTATATCTCTCTTGTGCCCTTGCTTTCTGGTTTTCTCCTATGTTTTCATTGTCGGTACAAGAGTCTAGAGAGGGGGAGGGAGTGGCTGCTCTTCTGTCTGTCTTTGATCCTTGCTTTCATCTGATTCGTAATGGAGCGGTACGAGGTGCTGAGAGACATTGGTTCTGGTAACTTTGGCGTGGCTAAGCTGGTTAGGGATGTGCGAACTAAAGAGCTCTTTGCCATAAAGCTCATCGAGAGAGGACACAAGGTCTCATCTTTCTTCGGCCCTCCGCTTCAAAATCCAATCTTGATCGGTGTTTGTTTCTTAATGTTCCTCTTCAATTCTTGGTTTCTATTGTCACACTTCGATTGTTTCTTTGCCGATGTAGGATATTATTTCAAATTCATGGTTTGATGTCCCTTTAATCCATAAATTAAAGAGTTCACCTTTTCAATCTCCCTCTGGGACTTGGCTAAGTTACCAAGTCAATGGCAATTTCTTATTTTTTTTGTTGACTTTCCATATTATTTTTTCTTGCGACTTCTGCACTGGAGGACCCTTTCCACTCTGTGCCTGTGTTTTCCCCCTAATCTCTGTATTCTTCGAATAAGATTCAGCTTTGGAATCCAATTTCAACACATTAGTTGTTTCTACTTTGGTAAATTACTGTCGATTTATGAGTGTCCTGTAGATATTAATATTTCACTATGTGATTTCTCCTCTTTTGTTTGCAATTGTTTTTAGACTGTGATGCGTTTATCCCTTTGCGAATTGTCATCTTTTTTGGCTGATCTATCCTTTTTGATTACTTGTGCAGATTGATGAGCATGTTCAGAGGGAAATCATGAACCACAGATCACTGAGGCACCCAAATATAGTTCGATTTAAGGAGGTAGCTGGTGCTCTTTTAATATTGAGTTGACATTTCCTGTGGCATATTGAGTTGTTTTGGTGACATTTCTTGTTTGCCTTCCTTGGTTTTTAAAGACTGCCAAAGCTGATTAAGACAGTGTTTATGGTTAGTTTGTTCTTTCCACCAATTTATTGATTTATTTACTTGCAAAAAGAGCAGACCTGGATCATTTAATTGCTACAACCTATCATATCCACAACTAGCCTCCAACCAAAGAAGGTTAAAATGGTTTTCTTAATCACAAGCTTTAACTGTCTTGTTCCACATTGTATCAGTGGCGCAAATGATGTAGTATCTGATATGAGTGAAGCTATTTTGCATGGCTGGTGATAACATACAGTGTAGAGACGGCTGATATGGCTTTTGGTGTGGTATCTGTATTTCCATTTATGTTTTACAAGTTGATCTCGTGAGAATGCCAAGTTATTCCATGGCCCTTCAAACATGCTTACCTTGCATGTTTCACATAGCAATTTTGATTCAGAGGATGGTTTGATTTGCATGGTCATTGTTAGTCATGGAGATCAAGCAATAAACAAACAGTATCATCATGTTTTTGGAAACTTGTTATACTATAAAGGTTGATGAATCTTGTAAATTAAGTGGGTTAATTGTACTAGAGTTGGTCTGAAACTTTCAAGAAACTGTAGCCATCCTATATCCACATAGTTCTCTGTTGAGATAAGGTCAAGCTGGTTTCTCCAGCTAATCAACACAATCTTGATAAGATACTTAAATTTGGAAGTACTATGTTGTTTGGTTCAAGTTCTGATTAAAAAGTATGCTGTATGTATGACCAAGTCTGCAAATCTGCTGATTGATCATGTTTGAATCATTTGGTAACTATAGAACATTTACACTGAATTTGCTCTATTGTTTGATTTGCACACACATGGTCACCCACATCCACAGCATTTCTGCATTTTCAATAAACTGTTTAGGTAGATCATTTTCTTCAAACACGACGTTTTGCATAAATAGATGATGCTGATATCAGTTTGAGAGAAAATTCCTATCTCTCGCTTAATCTTTCTCGTAGTTGTTTCTTTCGGGAGCTGACCTGCTAATCTGGAGGAATGTGCAGAAGCATCTAATACTACGTTGTGTTAGTGAAAATTCATCTTCTTTATGAAATTAAATTACCTTCAGGTCTTGTTAACCCCGACGCATCTAGCCATTGTTATGGAATATGCTGCTGGCGGCGAGCTTTTTGAGAGGATATGCAATGCTGGAAGATTCAGTGAGGATGAGGTATAAGTTCCTCTTATCATCTAAGCTGGTAAATGCTGCTTCACTGCTAGAGGCCATGCTCTAATCATTGAATTCAATTCTCTTACCAAATCAAACAGGCAAGATTCTTCTTTCAACAACTTATATCAGGTGTGAGCTATTGCCACTCCAATGTATGTTTTTTCTCCCTTATTTTTCCCCTTCTGTGTTTTTCCTACAATGTTAAAACTTCAACCTGTAGCATGGTAACACCGTCCTAATTATTTTTTATGGCAGCAAATATGTCATCGAGATCTCAAGCTAGAAAACACACTCTTGGATGGTAGTGCGGCACCCCGCCTTAAGATATGTGATTTTGGTTATTCCAAGGTATTTGACTACTATCATAAGCTCAAATTTAATAAGCCGTGATAAATACTTAATCTGTTTATTCTGATTTTCCAGTCCTCAGTCCTGCATTCTCAACCAAAGTCAACTGTTGGCACACCAGCTTACATTGCTCCTGAGGTTTTATCCAGAAGGGAATATGACGGGAAGGTGAGTTATGTTTACCCTCCAGTAGCTTTTCCTTTTTCCAGAGGTATTAAGTGGGTTTGTTGCCCATCTTTCATCAACTTGAATCACTGCTATTGATAAACTACCTGGTTTGCAAAATATATATATATATATCTAGATTGCAGATGTTTGGTCATGTGGAGTAACGCTGTACGTAATGCTGGTCGGATCTTATCCCTTTGAGGACCCAGAGGATCCTAGGAACTTCCGAAAGACACTTGGTGTAAGTATATTTCACTGGTTAATGCTGAATATTTTTCTTTTTCTTCATCCTAGCTTATACCAATTCTTGTACCACTGTAGCTTGGATAAAAACAGAAACAATTTGACAGCCCTTTCGGTCTAATTGAGTAGTAATTCATTTGCCTTGTTGCAATCACTATATATGTGCTTCAAAAAGTTGAAATAGTGAAAAATGAAAATTCTATGTGATGTGTTTTATCTATTAAAGAGGGTAGAGAAAGTTGTAAGTATGGTTAGTTCAAGGTTCAGAATAGTTTTCTCTGATAGGTATTGAAGTTGAGATAAAAGGATGAGTATTTGAATTGCTAAAGATAGAGCAAAAACAGTGAAGGTTTAGGCAATATTATATTTATTAAGACTACAATCAAAGAGTGTTTGTTAATCATAAAGAGATCGGAAAAAAAAAAAGGAAAATAATAATAGAGATTTAAGTGAAGAACATATGTGATAGCGATATTGCCTTTGCCCAAAATACAGATCATCGTAAGAAAAGAAGCATGGAGCTGACTCCAAATAGTTTGTTTACTTTATGTATCGGTTATCATTTACTGTCACTATTTGCTAAAGCGAAAAACATTTCTGTTGGCAGCGGATACTTAGTGTGCAGTACTGCATCCCGGATTATGTTCGAGTGTCGAGAGACTGTGCGCATCTTCTTTCTCGGATATTTGTAGCCAACCCTGAGCAGGTATCTCCTTACTAATCCAATCAAGAGACAACAATGAGGAGGAAAAGGGGAAACTAATCGCCTTTTAACTTTAAAGCTGCAGAAGCTAATTCAATTTTTTACCCTGCAGAGGATCACAGTTCCAGAGATCAAAAACCATCCTTGGTTTCTGAAGAATCTGCCTATGGAGCTAACAGATGGGTATCAACATGGTTTGGAGACCGGTGACGCAATGGCTCCAACTCAAAGCATCGAAGAGGCAATGGCCATAATTCAAGATGCACAGAATCCAGGAGAGGCTCCAAAGCTTGGCCATGGCCACTTCATTGGAGGTGGCAGTATGGATCTTGATGACATGGATGGTGACATGGACCTTGATGACATCGAAACAAGTGGGGATTTTGTGTGCGCTCTCTGAGAGTTCATCAGAAGGGTTGCCATGGTCCCTCCTGGTGTGCATATGGCAGTGTTTTTGGCTGAAGCTGCATGCTGTATGATATGTGCTCCTCTTTTCTTCTTCCTTTTGTGAGGAACAGTAACAATTTTACTTGTTCTTGTTGTTCAGTGGATTACAGATTACAAATGGCTTTCTCTGATATTTCCTTTCTTGTGATTTCACTAAATGGTTGCAGATTTCTCCTCATCAAAGTCGAATGATTGATAGATGCTCAATAAAGGAACGGTCAAACCGAACCAAAATTTTGGATCGTGACATCGATCGTATCCGTCCATTGAGGCCTTCAAGATCAACGAGTTTATTAACGGAAAACAAATTCAACATGTTAACTCGAAACTAAACTCAGCAATAAGCTGTGATTTCGAACAATATAAAGGAGTATTAAAGAGGGTCCGGAACTACTAAACCGGTTCATCTGCAACCGGTCCGGTCCATAAGAAGTCGACCCAAACCAAGTAGTAATTAAATAGCGTCAAGAATTATTGAACCGGTTCAGCTCGAACCGTTCCGGTCCATAAGAAGTCGACACAAACCGGCCATTTGGAAGCCGATCGAAAAGCCTCGGAGGTAAACCCTAAGCGCCGGGCCACCGCGCGTTCTCCTCCGTCCCTTCGCCGTCGCCAAGGGATCCTTCGATTCACAATGAAGGTATTTTACCCTAATCTTCGAATTCTAGCACCGGATACGTTGCTTTAATCTTGTTTATTTCATTTTTACGCCATTTTGTACACTATTTTGTGCCCAAGAAGGTTAGATTTTGCAATCGGTTATGCAATGTTGTGTGTAATATTTTGCAGTTTAATATTGCAAATCCGACCACTGGGTGCCAGAAGAATCTCGAGATCGATGACGACCAGAAGCTGTAAGTTCTAATCGGGCCTTCGGAACCATAGTTGCACATGTTGTAGTCAAACCTTGCGTAAATTGATTCTTTGGTTTTCCGTTTTGCTTGAAAGGAACGTCGAAGTAGCTGTTGGTTAGTCGGTTTGTAGATCATAATTAGATGCCGAAGAACGTAACAGGCGTTGTTTTCTTTCTTTGTGATCTAGTTGATTCAGTTGCTTGAGGTGTTAAGATTGTCGAGTAGCTTTTGGACTAGCTGATTGAGACTTGCATGTTCTAGTCAAAATCTTCAAATTCTTGGTGAAGAATGTCCTCTTTGTTTCCACCATAACACCATCTTTTTTGCTCCATACCTTGCTCTATCTTTATGCCTTTTCCGTCATTCCACCTTCTCAAGGTCAATAATTGAGAATGCATATTTTTCAAGGTCAATAATTGATCAATTATTGACTTTGTGAATGATATATATGTACTAGAATTTGATGACAAATGTGAGAAAGATGAAGAGCAAACTTTTGTTTTACCTCATCAACATATTTTATTTTATTTTTATGGTAAATTATGAAGTGTTACATTCCTTTGAGAAGGGGAATATGTCAATCAATAGGGAATCCATCATTGACTTTAGAGAAAGGGAAAAAAAAAAAAAACTATATGATTGGGTCTTCATCTGGTAACTTAATTTATATATCCATGGTTAACTATAATTTCTTGGCCATTTGCATCTTTGCTTTTTTCGACAAGAGGATATCTCAGGAAGTCAGTGGGGATGCCCTTGGTGAGGTATGGGCCTACTACAGTAAACTAGAATAACAAGTCTTTGTTTTGGAAGTAACATCCTGGAATTAAGGCCACAACATGCATACATTACAGGAATTCAAGGGCTATGTTTTCAAGATCATGGAAGGGTGTGACAAACAAGGTTTCCCCATGAAGCAAGGAGTGTTAACGCCTGGCCGTGTTTGCCTGCTTTTGCATAGAGGTAAGCGTATCTCTATCCTGTGCCTTGTTTCATATTATTTAGTAGATGACAAGATTGAGTTTTGGTTGGAAGATTATATAAGATGACAAATTGGAAGATACATATTAATCACTTAATTGTCTCAAAAGTCAGATTTAATTATGACACATGGTTGGATTTCTTGAACTTTATGATATCTAAAATCAATTGCAATGAGATCGTCGCTTTGTGACCCTTTCTTCCACGTTTATATCCTCATCTTCTATGGATCTTGTGGCAGGGACACCTTGCTTCCGTGGTTTTGGGAGGCGCAATGGAGAACGTAGGAGAAAGTCTGTTCGTGGTTGCATTGTTAGTCTTGACCTTTCAGTTTTGAATTTGGATATTGTTACGAAAGGTGAGAATGATCTTCCCGGCTTAACTGACATTGAGAAGCCTAGAATGAGAGGGACCAAAGAGGGCCTCCAAAATAAGGAAGTTATTTAATGTCTCCAAGGAGGAGGATGTCCGCAAGTATGTCAACACTTACCGCAGAACCTTTACTACCAAATCGGGTAAGTCATTCTATTTGCAGTTAGACTGGTTTTATGTGTCATCGTAGTTTGTGACCTAGTAAATGTAGTTCATGATCTTATGAAATCACTGTATAATTGATTTGGTGTTGGTTTATAGTATAGTTTGGGTATGGTCCTTTGTCATTTGACAAAAAGAAAGGAATGCTTCTTAATCACTCTGAGGAGATTCGCTGGTTTATTGTATGATTGGAATCCAGTTGGCTCTACTCCAAGACGATCATTATTACTTCAAATATTTCTAGAGTTTTTGCTTATTTGCTGAGTATGATAATGGATCCTTTTCTCAATACTGAATCTAGAAGATAAAACTATCATTTTCTGATTGGAGATCTCACATCTAGTATTAACTTGTATACAGCTTGCGAGCAACTTTGTTCAGCAAAAGTTAACTAAGATTATGTTGCTTTCTTCAGTCAATAAATAATAGACTCATGTTGGCTATTACATAGTCCAAAGCAACATTACATTTTTGTTTTGTGACTTGAGAAGTCAGTTTTGGAGTGCTCACATGAAGTGTGATGTGATTATGCGCATGAGATGTTCTTCTACCCTTTTTTGTAGGCAAGAAATGCAGCAAGGCACCCAAGATTCAGAGGCTTGTGACTCCCTTGACGCTGCAACGGAAGCTAGCCAGGATTGCAGAGTAGAAGAGGATTGCCAAGGCAAAGTCCGAAGCAGCCGAGTACCAGAAGCTTCTTGCTGCCAGGCTCAAGGAGCAGCGTGAGCGCAGGAGCGAGAGCTTGGCCAAGAGGAGGTCCAAGCTTTCTGCTGCATCCAAGCCATCCGTTGCTGCCTAAACTTTTGACATCAAGATTTTTGGCTACGGCTGTTTTGCAGTTCGAGATTTTAGCTTAATTTCTTTTGCTTTACTTTGATGTCTTTAGTGGTGAATCTTTCTGTACGTGGTTGCAATTGACGCTTTTGCCTTATGATTGAAAGAACTGATAATTGAATTGGATAATTCTAGCCCGAGTTTATGTGGGCTCAGTGAAATCGGATATGATTATTGAAGTTCTTAATCTTTCTTTTTATTTTAATGTCTTCATCTACGTAGAATCGTAATTTTGAACTATATATTTTCTTCAAACGTTATTTTTAAGAATAATTTATTCCTAAAATAGTGAAACAGTTGATTTTTTTTGTTTTGTTTGGCTCGTCAATTCTTTTCTCAAAGGATCATCCTACATATTTTACCATTCAGATTGCTTCTATTTCGGATGGTCCATTATATATATATATATATATATATCAAAAGCTTGCCACCTATTCTCACAACATTGTCTGTCGTTGAATGTCGCTTGTTCATTCGTCACTATTTATCTTTCGTCTCATCTTCTCCTTCCTCTTTCACCGCTACGTTTCTTTGGTCTTTTATTCATCCTCCATTTCTATCTTCTTCCTCCCTTCTATTATTTTTCTTTCTTCTCTCTCCGCTACCTTTCCCCTTTTTTCTCTCTTTCTCCTGTTTCTTCATCGCTCCTTCCTTATCGTTTTGCATACCGTGTAATCATAACGTGAACATTTAATCAATATACCTCATACATAATCGGTTAATCATAACGTGAAATCATCTTCCATCTGTTTGTTTGTATAGACAATAGTCCAAATAATATTTCATATAGTATTCTCTCTGTTTGCATAGACAATAGTCCAAATAATATTTCATAAAATATATTATTCTTTCTTATCATAAAATATTCTATCCCTTGCAATCAGATATAAAAATATATCCTTAACACAACGAGAGATGAACTTATCTTTTTTTGACCACTTACGTTTACACTCGAAGATTTGAAGCTACTAACTTGAGCATAAGAGAGATCGGATCGAGAAATCTCTCATAACCTTAGTCTTCACACTTGGAGACTTAAGGTTACTAACTTGAGTATAAGAAGGATCGGATCAGGAAACCTCTCCTGATCTTGGTCTTTATGCAGATGACACCTCAAGAGCTTAGTGTTTTCACATCGAAGGTATATCGAACAACCCAGCACATATAGTCCGGATCATGCTAGGCTGACCAAGACGTCAATAATATTTTTTCTTTTCATTTTTATATTAGGAGAGCTTGATGTACTAAGGGAAGCATAGATTGACCCCTGCATTGAGTTGATCGGTATTCTCTAAAATATCCAGGAGTCGATCCCGACAAACTTTCATCTCCCATTATTAAAGGCCTTTGATAGCAATACCAATAATTTCAAAACAACTGAAGAAAATGTTTAAAGCATCCCCTACTTGAAGAAGCTTGTTATTGGCAGCTTCCTGAGAGAAGATTAAAGAGATATCCTCGGAATGTGAAAATTTATTAAAATAGGGGGCTACCAATATAATTATCTTATTACAAAAAAATATATGTAAAATAAAGAAACAAATCTTTTTTTTTAACTGCCTTCGTGGATGTAACAGTAACATTAGTAATGCAACTTACTCTGGCATCAGAAGACCTAAATCACATTCTCACCGAACAGTTCCTAACTTAATTTGCTGATGGCAACTTCTTACAGTCAAACGAGAACCACCTGATTTGCTGAATCTGCACTTTCACCTGTTTCAGTGTCGAATGCAGATGGAAAGAGGTACAGAATCTGTCCCTGGCAAAATACTGATGTAATCACCTTAAACTTGGAGCTACAACAATGATGACAATGTATCTACCCAGATACAAAATAACTCAGTTGCACAAATAGAACTACGAGATGAAGTCACAGAACTTCACCTTGGAGCCGATTTGCCATCTTAATCCTGTAACTCAACATGTG